TTTCACGTATAAATCGATGTTCCTTACGAAAATATGAGTGTTGATGTACTATTTTTTTTTTTTTCAGATTCTTTAAAATAGTTTAAGAATCGCGTATGTGCCTTTTACCATTAGGTCTAGGTTTTGAAAAGTCTAAATAACATTATTCATTAGAGAGAATAACTTTGCAGTCGTGTTATAGCGCGTACACAATTACATTAACTTTTTAGATTAATAATTCAATGAAGTATCCTAATGTAGTACGTAGTTGTCGATTACTAGAGAATGGTGTCTACTACAATTTTTCTAACAAAAAAAATCTTATCAAGTGTAGATAACGTTTAGAAGGGTCTTCTCGATCAAAAAACGAACACTACGCATTTTAAAGAAGAACTCTTTTTCACGATCCAGCTTACAACCACGAGAGAGTTCACGACCCTTCATGTGCTAGGAATTACTCTATTTGAATATACACGTCAAATATCAAACACATTACCCTTCTCCTCGATTGTTGTAACTGAAACGAACAACCCTTAGGAAAAAGAAAGAACAGCAATTAAGAACTACATCTTTTTAGAGAGCTGGCTTCGCAGAAAGTGATTTGCGAATAAGTCCCTCAATAAGTACTTATAATTAAAAAAAAAAGGATAGCTATCGATAAAGGTATGTAAAGATCGAATTAACGCTATTGCTTACATCAACAATCTGATCGTCACTCGCTTAGATTCGTACGTGTTTATGCACACTTATTTTTACGGCGCAAATGTTTCTATTTAAAGTGAAAAGACGTGTGCTTCTAACAAAATACACTTATATGATAGATAGATTATATTACGATTACATTAAAAGTTATTGCTTAGAAAAATATGGCGATAGTATGTAAAATTTGCAAAGTCGAACGAATCTGCTATGAGCACCTCAGCGCAGCACCTTACGCTCGTGTTGAAAAATTCTAGAATTCCTAAAATCGTATATCTTAAGAAAGTGCATTAATCGACGAATATAGGGATTATCTTAGCGAAACGTGTGGACATTAATATTCAAAATCTAAGACGTGCGTTACATCACAGCGGAATTTATCAGACAATATAATAGAATTACCGATTAAAAATTAAGCCTTCCCTCTTTAATTTCAAATCTCTCGAATATTTTATAAACAGAAATCATATTGAAATAAGATAAGCATCAGGAACTGATATCTAATCATAATTATTCTAAGATATACGATTTTTTTTTCAATTTTTTCCACAACAGAGAATATAGGAAAATCATAAATGGGTCCTCCTGTTTTCTAGAAGATTTAAAAAATTCAACGTGTCGTGCTTTGCGTGCTGACATACGTACGCATACTAGGATTACTAGGGCTATGTTCAGATTCCCACCCGAGAGAGAGTGGCACCCGGATATTATTCTATCCTTTTTATTTTAAAAGGTAAACAAGGATGACATGACATTCGGGAAACCTTCGAGTGGGAATCTGAACACGCCTTAGAAGCATAGGTGACATATGTACGTGTAGATATATGCGACTTACAATACATAAGTTTCACACGCAAGGATAACGGACGTGAGTACAATACACGTCGTTTAAAGGAATCATAAAGTTGTCTGTTTTATCGATTACTTTTTAAATAAGTATTTGTCTAATTGCTTTTATACACACAGATTTAAAAATCCTTCTCCTTAATTAAAGTATAAATGATAATGCAGTTCAAATCGGTCGATTTTATGTCAAAAGTGAAAAAAAGTTGAAAAATTACAATTTTGTCATCGGTTTCTAATGTTGACTCACAATAATATTTGCTTTATATACAAGTTTTATACTTTGTATGTATAAAACAATCTTGATTTGGCCTTATATGAGCAATTGTGGCCTTAGAATTAGATTTTGATACCTAATATAAAAGATTAAATAGTTAAAAAATTTGTACGTACATATATGTGCGTGTGCGATATTGATGTAGTATTGACGTATCAATGACACAGAAATCGTATTGTGTAAGTCCTACTGAATCGGTAATAGAGTATACAGACAGTTTTAAAATCCCCTTAAGGTCATTATGTTGATACTTCACAGTTTCATAAAAAACAGAATATTGTTAACGAATTTGATAATTAACTTCGAAGATCTGCGCGGAAAAATAGAAGCTTCTGCTCTATCAAATGCAACAGATTGCGTTATGTAATTTGATTTGCCTATTCATTTTCCCGCTGGATGATTTAACACGATAAAGCAGTGTTGCACTCCAATTGCATTTCTTTAATCGTACGTATAACAATGTCGAAGTGAACTGTCCTAAACTAAAATTGCGAGTTGTGATAATAAACACCAAGATTCCGAAAATTACAGGATATCGGCCATCATCAATAGAACGCCATGTACATGTTTTCTTTGTATGGACATCTGACGTGAGTCTCACATGTAACAAAAGGATTGCACGAAGTGAGTCCACTTTGTGTAATAACGTCCGATGGTTAATTAAAAGTGAGTCGCTGTTATAACGTCCATAAGAATTTCTTTTCACGATTCAGACATTCGCAAGGCAAAAAAAACAGAATGTGCGGTGTTTTTTATGTAGAATGTGATGGCAGAATCTGAAGAATATACCTAGTACCATGCTTAGTACGAGATTCTTACACGCCTAATACCAAATGTATAATGAGAGTATAATCGTGTATCGTTTATATGTAGACGTATAGTATATACATAAGTATGTGTATAATTATTGAATTACTGTTAATTAAATTTCTAAATTTATACTATATAACTTAACTTAAAAGCAAGAAATAGCAGAGAATTCCATTAAAAGACATAATATACCCCTATATACGAATCAAAAGAAAATTTAGTCATAAAATTTAAACATAAAATATGAATTCTGAAGCAAAATTTTGTATCCATAAAAGCTTGGTTAATATGCAAATTAATTCTTCTGTTACAAATTAATGACGATGATGATGATAAATTTGACACAGTATGGCGTACATGCTCATTACTGAAACTCAAATTCATTTACGGAAACAAGTTATTAAGTATTCTATGGTAATATTCGATCGGGCTACGCATCAAATTGTTCGAAACGTGTTTCGCACGAAGCAAGAGAGATGGGACAGATGCAAGAGAAAAGAAGCAAACAGAAGGGAATGAGACTGCATATCGAAGGGACAGTGTTTTTCAGTGTTCTTATTTGTAAATTAATTTGCTGCAAGTTGAAGCAACCAGTTTTTGAGCGGTTATTTCATTGCACCACGTATCTGACACCGCCGATTTTGCGATTTTGCGCGCAGATGCACTCGCCTTTGTGTGAAAAATTATAATTATCATAGAATAGCGGCTGATAATTCGTTGTATACGGCGCGAAAAAAGAATTTTAATATAGACTGAATTAATTCACAGTATTCCAAGATTAATCGCTTTACTCGTCATCAAGATTTAAAGATTTACTCATGTTAATCGTTACGATATAATGATACTTCTTCAGGTAAGAGCACATGATAGACAAAGTGTCGGCCGACTGGGCTATGTTCAGATTCCCACTCGAGTGCCACCCAGATATCATTCCATCCTTATTGTTTACCGAATGTTAAACGAGGATGATATGACACTCGGGGAGCACTCGGATGGGAATCTTAACATGCCTCTATTGTGTCGTTTATGGATGGAAAGTCCTTGGCAACGTATAATGTAACTCATGTATGACACATGGAAAACAATTTTAATTGTTTTCCATAAACGACATATAACAGTCGGACGACATTTTATCTATCGTGTGCGCTTACCTTTTACAATATATTAAATACAAAAAATGTCATGTATCCGATCTTTGAGCGTTGGACAAACATGATTTCTATGAGCGCATTTTAGAAAGAGATATTTCTGTTTACTTTTGAGAAGTAGGAAAAATTGAAAAATTTGTCGAATAAATTTAAGTATTCGTAATCAATCTATGATTAATATTGTGTATATGAATGTCTTACCATTCTCCATCATGCGCGTGTGGCTGCAAGTCTCATATCTTCAAATAATATTTAATAACACGTATAAATTGAGAAAACAGCAAGTCAGCATTATATAATATATATGAATAAGCAGAAAGCATCAAACTATGTCCGCCATCGATTAATTCGACCAACGCTTCGCCTGCTTGCGCAGCCATCGCCGTCATCCTCTGTGTTTGGTTTTCCACACGCAATATTGGCCACACGCGTCGTTGAACAGAAGCCAGCAAATAAAATCGTCGCGTTTATGATCAGATAGATTTCTTAACGATTTGCCTGTCGTGCTTACGGTCGTTTCTCTTCGCAGATCGGCATCTTGCCATCGCGTTCTCGTACCGAATTTTAAAATGGACACACGTGAGGAGGACGCGGTACATGAACTCGCCGGACAAGCTCAAGGGATGTCAGAAGCGGTACGTCGCGGTCTTCTCATTCTCCAAGATTATGCTTGATTAAGCTGCCTTGCGGGAGCTGCATCGCCCATGCGTAACGTCAGGGTCCGTCGATTTCGTTTCGCCTGAAACGAAAATCCGAACGCGGCGATTTTATACAACCTACCGTCCGCCTACCGAGGAAACGCGAGTGATCGTTTGAAAAATGAACGAAGTTACGCTCTGCGATCTTGTTGTTCGCTTCACCGTCCACGAACGTTCGATCCATTATCGCAAAAGATCTACTATCGCGATGGCGTCGATCTATTATGAGATTGTTCGTAATAAAACGTTAACTTTTCGTTCTTTCACGAAGGATCACGATCACGGTCGGGGATTAAAAGCAAAGGATGGAAAATGTCTGGAAACTTGCTGCGAAATCGACACAATAATTTTTCGCGAATTTAAAAAAAAATTTCTTGATTGACTGCGATTTGCTCAGTCCACTGAATATGCAGCAGCGTTGACTGAACACCTTGCGAAGCGATGTTCGAAACGAGTTGGCAATGATTGATAGTCAGGTTCAGTGCTCGTCCCGACAACCTATCACTTTGGAGGCGACACGATTTTCTTTGGATTCTATACGTTTTCCTCGTCGATTTACTTCAATGATTGTTAGCGGTCGATCTGAAAGCAGAAAAATTGGATGGTAACAGTAATATGATAATAATAATGGCAAATACTAATGTTCATTTCCAAAATCTCTTACACAATCGTGTTTTATACACATGTTCGTTCTAATTTCACCTGTCATAAAATATTCATTTTTCTAATTTTAATTAATAAAGTATCAATATGTCATCGAGAGGTATTGTATCTTATAGAAGTATTTTATCAATAATAAATATTATAATAAGTGTGACATGTTCAAATAAAGACATCCTCTTATTTTTTTTGTGTATAATGTTTTTCCTTTCACTTTATTAATTTAGATTAAAGTTTTAGATATTTTTGCGAGGAGGTAATCACTAGCTAAAATATTATCTGAAATATAAAGATTATTACATAGATAATTTCATTTAATTTCATAAGATTTTTCACATGAAAATTAAATAATTTTCTTCACTACACATGAAGTCATTTGGTAAAATAAAAAAACCAATATTACATAATAATTTCTGCATATGTAATTATCGGATTATACATGCGGGGATATTATACGAATTTTATAATGATTTTTGGAACTGTTCCACATACGATTACATTGATTACCTCCTCGTACATTTGTTTTCAATATTTATTCCCAATTTAAAGGATTTAAGCACAAAGTAATTATTGTGATAAATCGCTATAACAATTGTCAGATGTTAAGATCATATCTATACATCACAAGAATAATAACGTAAACAAATTGATTCTGCCTTATGCAATAAGATTTACGCAACACGTCACGTGTAATTCTACGACGCACAGTTTCCGAGATTCAAAGAAGTAGCGTAGTAGTTTATATGTAATTTGCTTGAAAATGTAATAAAACCAATGCAATATCGTATCTATTTAGATACGTAATTTCACATCCTTCTATTAAAAATGTCATTATTTTCAAAATAGTAATAATTCCGATTTAATTATGATCTACAATCGCTTTTTAATTATTATCGCCTGTATATTACTGCAATAGGAAAAAGAAGTATAATTGCTATTTGCCACAGCTGTGATTAAAGTGCCAGCTGTAATGAGGGAATAAAAAATATATAGACATATCTTTCTATGCCATTTGAGATTCGTAATAATACCAGGTAAATCGCGTTGTTTTATTGCCGCTGACAACGTTTACTGACATAAATGCACGTTTGCCAAACAACTTGACATGCAATGTAAAAACGCAGCGTTACATTCAACTACGTTCAAGAATGTACTGCACTTATGGCATCAACGAAAACACCGCTTATTTGCATTCTTTGTTACACTTCGAGAATTTCCTCCCGTAATTTTACACATTGTCCGTCTATCAAAAGTTTATAATATAAAAACAATGTTTACTACTCAGAGCTATAAATTATCACAAAGTTATCATTCAAGTCTTTATTAAAGCGATCCTAAGGAAATCGAACCCAATCTAATCGTTCAATATTGTATAAGCAACAACGCGGCAGTACTAACGCAAAAAATTACCGAATGCCGGAAACCGCCGACTAAGAAATGGAGAGAAGTTAACGACCGTCATGTCGGTTCATCCAGCGGATATTAAATCTGGTAGCGGGACATTTCTCATTCTCGAGAAGTTTTCTCAGAGAGACGACCGACGAGAGGAAAACTTATCGCGATGCTTTAAAGATCGTCGAGTTGCGAATGCGAAGGGGAAGAAGGCGGACGAGGTCCACCGCCGTAAAACAAAATCCACTATGGAAAGATGGCAAGAGAGAAAAGAACGGATGAGAAAGAGGAGAGGACTGAAGAAGCGACAAGGACGCGGAGGAGTATATTATGTTCGCTAAAGCAATGTTACCAACTCGAGAACTGGCGAACTAGCCGACAGTAAAATCCATTTTATGTCTCCCTCGTAAAGCCAGTCAAATGAAACCCGGACTTAGTTTTCATACGTGCACCCAATGGCAGACCCGGTTTCCTGCCCGCTACGACAGCAGGTTGTAACAGACTTTTTCGAAAGTCTAGACGCATTGGTACTTAGATCGGACATCTCTGTCGAATCAATCTTGTTTGATGAAACCTCGCAATCATGACGTTTTCAACGGTTTTCCATTACAATTTTGTTTTACTTTCAAGATCGCTGCGACTTAATACGTCATCAGTTTCAAAAATTTATCCGTCTAAAAAATAAATACAAATAAATCAAGAGAATTAATAAGATTAAGATATAAAGTCATGGAAAGTGGAAAATCAAGAAGTCGATCCTTTTAATTTGATCGATGACGTACTATATAGTATTTTGATTGAACCTTTTATTTTATTTGATTGATACACGAAGCAATAACTTGTAAACAAAGAGCGGTACAAGATAGACATTAAAAAGCTTGACCAAGCAAAACATCGTTCGACACTAAAACCTGGTCGCCTCGTAAAACGTACGTCTCGCAGATATACGTCCCGAAAGAGTAGAGGCGATAAAGATCCAGTTCACATCCCAGAAGATCGACTTTGAAAGGATCTTTCGTTAGATAGCACGAACCTCTTCTTAGAATCATTTTAATCGACTCCTTTGTCCGCCAATGCTTCAGCGTGTCTAAAAGATTCGTTAATAAAACATAATCGTGCTCTAACTTGAATGAAGAATACACGAGAAACGCAAAAGTGGTTTCAGCGAAAATACGATTACGCGGTAGATATATTATTGCGAAATCGACTTTTATAGCTTCGAGAAACCGACAAACTTGTAAACTGTCGAATTAAATAATGGATATATGCCAACAACACAAGAAAAATGATTTAAAAAAAAAAAACATTTTCGATAGATATACGTAAGAGAACATGACAAAAGCACTGAGAACAAAAGGTTTGATTAAATTAAATAGTAATTCTGATGGAAAGCGATGAATCAGAATTTTCTGATTAAGTCTATTAAAATTTTAGTTGAGATAACTAGAATTCTGATTAATTCTAGTAAAAAAAAATATATTAATAGGGTAAACTCGGGTATGATGGCCATAGTTTTTTAAAATGCAAAAAACATACATTTATTCCTGTTACTTTTTAATAATATTTGGGATATTACTTTCATTGAAGCTTAAAGTAACAAATACTATCGAAATTAAAGAGAAAACACTTAACAGAACTTTAATATTATCAAAATATTACAAAGTAAGCATTGGCCATCTTATCTGATTTTTAGGGATAAGATGGCCATGATATTATAGGATAGCTGACCATACATATTTTATGTTAAAAAAAATCAAACAAAGATTTATTAAGGAAACCAAACAAAGACTTTTATCATTGATAATAAAAAAAGATTTATAATAAAAAAAACAATGTTTTTTATGTTTATTACTTATCAGTTTTTGAAATAATTTTGCCACACGTTTGACAAACATCAACAAATGATGTACAGGTTTCATGTAACCACCGTTTGCAACGGATGCATTGAATCCAATCTACTTTTTCCATTGTGAACTTATAATCCTTTTCACATTACTACGAAAAAAAGTGAGCCATCTTACCCTAACTGTAACGGAAAGATAGCCATAGTATTTATAAATAAATAGTGAAGATAAAAATATTAATTATAGGTTACATTGAAATTTACGTACATTTATTGTGTATGTAATGTCGATTACAGCAGCTTAACTGTAATTTATTTGATATTATAACAGTTTTTAGCAGACATTTGGAAAACTTTGCAGATAGTCGAAAGAAAAAATATTAGATAATATTTATAATATTATTATTTTGAATAGTGTATTTACATAAACTACTGTAAATATTGATTATTTATAAGAAAGAATAGAAAAATGCACTATTTAGTAATTATTGGGGAAATTATGACTTATGGCCATCTTTTCCGTATGGCCATAATACCCGAGTTTACCCTATATATAAATTCTAATGGATTTTACCAGAAATATTGTGTCAATTAAAATTCTGATTTTCTTAACTAGAATTTTATTAAATTTAACCAGAAGATTTCTGAATCTTCCATTTTCAAGCAGAAATTTTTAAGTAAAATAATAAAAAAAACCGACTTTGTTGATACGCGTGCGATGGTATAATCGTAGTCATCCATCATTGTTACACATATTTAACCAGTTGACGACGCTTGGAATATTATTTCCACTCGTAAAACGATCCCTCTAACGATCGACAGTTACTTTGATGCCGTTTCAGGGGCGAGACCGGGTGTTATGTCGTTCCTGGTCGTGTTGCAATACACATTCTTCCCCTCTCGCTTTAGAGCTCGTGGATTTGTGCCGGTACACGATTCGTCATCTCGTTTTCATGAGGCTTTAACCGTCCGCGCCTGGGTCTTTTTTTACGAGCGACTACTTCGTCAAAGTGCCAACCACTTTGTTAAGTACACGTATCTGTAACGGTGCGTTACGACGAACGCAAGATCTACTCGTGTTAAGAGGATGTGAGCGCTTTCAAGAAATATTCGATGACCGATTGCAAATAGCACGAAAGCCAATAGTTGCCTCGAATGACGTAAATTTATCGTGCTACGTACAGTCTATACGTGACCGTATTTGCATTTACTTTATATAGTTTTTCAGATATGACAATCACTGCACATTATAAATGTAAGATTTGCATGTATTTTAAGTTGCCAGTACATTTACCGACTCATTATACATTCCTCTCTAAAAAAAAACTCTAATACCCTTTTATTATGTATCATTATGCGTCATTGCTTAAAGAAAAAATGATATATTAGCAAGTGTATCTCGTAGCAATTGCATGTATTTTAAAACGTTATAAAGTTTTATATCCAAGTTATAAATAAAGTTATATATTAAATTCTTCATTGAGAACAGAAATATTCATGCAAAACATGCACTTTCTCCATATTATTAACAATAATTAATTATAACAATCGTCATAATAATAATAAAATAGAAGAGAGAGTGGTTATTATGGTACACTATTTACAGTTATATAATAATTATTGTACAACATTATTATACAATAATTTAATTAATAATCACAATTTGAAACTTAACAATTACCTACAT